TCACAGGGATGTATTTAACATTTAAATGAAGAGCTATGGTTTTAACAGAATGATTTACTCTTCCTTAGAAATACCATTTAGCCTCAAATAGCCATAAACCTAACTATACATAGGTAATTTACCTCTACTCACTTATTCATTGTGATATACCAAAATCTACTCACGTCGCAAAAATTCTGCACGAAATTATGTGTAAAATCCAAAGTCTAAATCGGCGTTGGATTTGTCGTGCTTGGAGAAAAAACGCGATAAACTATGTTGGAGATTAAATTTAGTGCATATGAAGGGTGGCGTTTATTTAAATATATTATACGCATATATGGCAATAGCCACAAAGTAGTGGTTTCGGGATGTGTGGTCGTTAAATGGATAAAACTGGTCTAGTTGTTTTGTTTTAAACTATACAGCAAACTAAATTTTAGCAATTACCTACAGCAAGTGAACTTTTGATTTCGGCTGGCAAATCGATGAAATTACCTTTTCGGCAGCGAAATAACTGTTTGAGTGCCAGTACAATGGTATGATAATTACATTATACTACTTACGTGGTATGATACCAAAAAATTATTTATATCATAGATATAACATTATATTTAAATATTGCTTCACGGCATTGTTTAAAAACATATCTAATCGTAAACATATTGTTTTTTTTTAATTTTTTTTTATAAAATGTGTAACATTCTTATACATAATTATTTCGCCACATTAAATATCGATATAATATTATTGTTACATTGATATCAAATGACAGCAGTAGAAAAAAATACGAGCGTACATATTTCTCGAATACAATTGTCAGAAACCAAAGTTTTCTTTAAGTCTTTCCAATTTTTTTATTTTATTTGCTGGCCATTTGACTAAAAGAACGATTTTATGGTTCAGAGCTTCGTTTCCAAACGAATTCAACTGGGTACTTTACGTTTGTTTACACTATATACTATTGTAGTTTATCACTTTAACGATATAGAAAAAAAAAGAGAAAAATGAATTTCGGATCAATGGCAACCGCTTTTTTCCAATTTTATTTCACTATCTTCAACGTTAACTATGGGGGGGGGGGTTTCTATGCCCGTCACGTTCGTTCATCAACTTTCTCATGTAATTGGGTTCAAATCAACGTTATCCACTCCATCCGATCTTATTGCCCTTTGTCTCTCGACCCATCGTCCACGAGTCCCGTCGATACTTGCGGCTACCATCAATGAATTTTAACTCGTTAATATGATCAAATAAGTCATAAGTGAATCTGTGGCTTTTGATTTTGTTACATTCTGTTTCAGTTGACAATCGAATTTAATGATCGTAAATTTTTAGGTGAACGTTTTTATTTCAAAGTTTACAACCAAAATCCGATTAATCCACAGTTTTCAACATATTACTATACTACTGTGTTACGACTATGCAAATTTAAACATCGAAATACAAAAAAGACTTAAGCTCAATGGTACGCGTTTATAATAACTCGATTTCAACTATGTAGATCAGTGGTTGCTAAACTGTTAGGCGCAAGCACTTATTGAAAAATGCGAGTCAAATTATATATTACACTATATTTATTATAAGATCGACAATAATTTGCTTTTATTAAAATAATAAAATAAACTGTAGTTTTATTTATTCATGAGACCCGCGATTAATTTATTTTTATTTTGAAGATGCGTTAACCAAAAGTTTGGGAACTGTTGATATAAATATTAAAGATAAAAAGAAAAAAGCTAGAAATAATTTACAGATGTTATTAGAAGTCATGAAATATGACGTCGTTTGATTTTATTATTCATTATAATTTTCAAACATCAAGCGTAAATATTGTCCAAATAAATAAAAATTATAATTTAAGATACCGGGAATTACTGGAAAATTTTGGAATACAAATCATGTTTTGCAATATAGTATGTATCAAGTTTATATGTACAAATGGTTGTTGATTTATTTAAGAAAAACAGATGTTAATAAGGTTCGAAAGCATGATGTTAACAATTACAACCTAACAAGCAGTTAAAAAGTCTCACTGTTGACATAATGTTTTTAGTAGGAATAGTTTTCCATTAAACGTCAAGTCACCGATGAATAAGAATTACTCATTTTTTGTCCGAAATAATATAACATGTCTAAAATTAAATATCATTGAATGAGCTGGAACAAAAAGTATTTTAAAATCGGATTTATAGATACCTAATATTTATGCTTAAGATAAATATTTTTTTTTAATTAATCTTGGAGAGTTCTCAAAGTTCATCTTGAAGTTTAAAATGACCCTTACGTATAATGAATTACTATATATATTTATATAAATGTTATTGTTAAAGAGTTTCGAAAACAATAGTAGTATTTTTTAAGCAAAAGTTAATATTTATGTATATAATTGTATATTATGTAAATTGTTTTCAGTGTCTGTCTGTTAACTATTCTGCACAAGTGTGGTGTAAATAATTACTTTATAAATACTTTTTTTCGATTTAACTTATATTTTATATGTTGCTTATATTTTAAGTTGTTTTATAGTTTCTACTTCTTTCTTTCTAACTTGTAAATAGATTTTTTAATCAATATTCTGGACTTATAAGTAAAATATTTTTAACCTTTAATTTTATATCAGGGTTGAACGTGGGTTGAACTGGTTAAATTTTTTTACGAATGACGAATGTATTTTTTTAAAATTCAGTAGACCTCTAATAATTTAAAGTCACATTGTCCGTAAACTAGTTATATTTACTACCACCTATTCCTTACAACCTTATAACCTTATAACTGTATTACCATTATTCGATGATTTTTTACCAATATGCAATTTAAAATATATGATTAATTTTAACCTTATTCAAATTATAGTTTGTATTATATTGAAAACTGATCTGTAAAAATATATATTTAATAACTGTGTTACCGATTCATTCGTCCATCTATATCAGAGATTCCCAACCTTTTTTACTTAACGGCAAAATTGATCATTTTAAAAATTTCCACAGCACACTTAAATAAAGAATAATGAATATACATAATATCATAATTATATATAATGTACTATAAAATAATTATATTAATACAATATATATAATACAAATTTAATTTGACATTTGAGTCTGGTGTTTTTTACATAGTTCCTCTATTACGGGTGAAACAGTTGAAACGATACAAACTGTTAAAGGATAATCAATGTCACCATTCCACGTAAATCCAAAACATAAATAATTATCATCATATTTACGTTTAATTTTTAAATTTAAACTTTTATTATTTATTAAAGCTGATTGTTTAATATTAATTTCAATATTTAAATTGTTGTCATTTGCACTAACATCATTGTCATCTGTTAATTTATGCTTTTTTAAAAATCTATCCATTTTTAAATTTAACTTACAATATTTCTTGATCAAAATACCTATACAGTATAATGCATAACAATTACACGCGCTTAATTTTCATTATAATGAGCATCGGCTATGTTTTCATGTAGTAATTTTAGTATGTGGTAAAAGTCAACGCAACTGCTTGTAATACCCGTATCGGGTAGTATAGGATCTCATATAATATTATAGCCGTTTTATCAGGACATTTTATAATTTTTTATTTTCAAGGGAATTTTGAAGTCAATGCTATCATAAATATAAATTATAATTTTGATTATCATATTTAGTTATGCTTAAAAAATTATAAAATTACAAAAATTATACGGCACGCTTGAATCATTTCGCGGCACACTTGTGTGCCGCGGCACAGTGGTTGGGAATCCCTGATCTATATAGTACTGAACAATAATTAATGTAAGATAATTAATACGAACATTTTAATTAGCATATCTTTGTACCTAACATTCAAATGATTAATAGATATGTTGCACGGGACGAATAATTAGTTTATTTGTGAAACGATTTAATGAAAAATAAATAAATAGATTGATTTTATTTTCCAGTTAAAAATTATGCTGGGTGATTAATAAATTAATCGGGAACCTATTTTATCGCGGCCCAAAGTTGATGTACATGTTCTATATTAACTGACATATATTTATAATATCTAGCATGATATCTATCTGGAGTCATATTTAATAAACCATAGTTGTACATAATAAGTTTAGAAATGGCTTTGTCGTTTTAGCTTTGACAAACTGTTAGATAAGTTACTTATATGCGTATCTTCACGAAAATATCATGGAAAAAAAAGAAACGAGTATATATTGATTTGCAGTCGAACGGAAACGTCCTGAAAAATGTAGTTACTTACGCCGTGAAATAGACATCCTATAGTTGGTGTGAAACAATTTGTACAGGATTTGTGTCTACGGATTGACGATATCAATGATGAACCGTTGTCGGTTGTATGCACAACATAAATATATGTCTAAAATGTACTTGATTGTAAACAATCACGAGAATTCGGTTTCGGTTTATAGATGCGATGGTTTACGGACATGAAAATGTTACTATCAGAATTTAACGTTTTCAAGAATTATAAAATATGAAGCTAGAGTATAATACGTGACATAATATTATAATATTAAAACGTGTGGTAATCGGTATATGCGCTGTGGATAATATTACGAAGGATTAGTGGCACATGAATGCATACCATGGTATGTGAATCCATATATCTCAAGGATCGGACGAAAAAAATAAAAAAAATCCTAAAGAATTACAAATTTTTTTTATTTTAACTATTTAAAAAGCTAATGATAAGATACTCTAGCACGGAGAACTCCAGTTTGTTTTTATTGGGTGAAATTTTATTGTAAACGCATAATAAATCGCGTCATAAATTTGTTCGCAATGGTTTTTATGCTCATTGTATTTAATCCTTTTTAACGTGATTCGAAATATATAACTAAATTCAGAGATCTTTCGATTGGATCTAATATAGATATCTATAACGAATACGGATTTATGTATACATCTATACGGATGAATATTTAACTTGCCAACTCAAACGTTGATGATGCAACGGTGCGACGAAGATACCCAGAAATCTTACGGAACCTAAACCAACCGAACTTGACTCACCTCAGTGGGTCTTTAATATGAATGTATCTGTCCAGCGATATGGCGCAAAGGTTGAGTATAGACGCGGTGGAGCACATCACGTCTATGGCGATCCATATGTCGCAGAACTTAGCACCGAACATCCAGTAGCCTTGCAGGTCATTGATCAGCGCGAACGTCATAACCAGCGCACCGACAAACAGGTCGGCAATGGCCAACGAGGCGAGGAATAGGTTGCCGATACGTCGCAGCCCTCGGTCCGTGTAGATTGCCATGCACACCAACACGTTGCCGGCGATTGAAAGGAATATGACGACGATCAGAAACGATCCTGAAATCATTACACGGGTACACACCATCAATTATAGCTCGTCAAGTTTGGCCGATAATCTAGAATTAGATTGTTCATAATGGACAATGCGCGCGAAACATTGTCTATGAGTAGCATTGAGTATTATTTTAATTTTGTCATCTTCAAGTTTTACTTTTTATTTTTAACGTTCACTTGATTTCAGCTACAACTAAGTGTAACTAGCGAGCAGTATTAGATGATGAATATGTTACGAGTGTTATGGAATACCAAGTAATGTACATATTGCTCGAGAAATTTGATTGTGCCCGGGCATCTTAAACCTCGAATAAAAATAAATAATTGTTAAACTTATAATAACATATACTTATAACTTATAATGTAAAAAATTTCTTATAATTTTATTTCCATACCAAACAAAGTATAAAATATGAGTGTAATATTTTTTACTTACAATATTATTTTATACTTAATAAATATCACATTGATATAATTATGGCTATGCCAATATAAGCAGACAACAATATATGAAAAATAATTTATATTTATGATTAAATAGTCGATTTTTCGTGCTTTTCAGAGAACTTTGTACTTTTTAATTATTTATCTATATTCGAGGTTCAAATTGCCTGGAAAGAACCGAATTGCCCGAATATTGTGTACATTGTCCGGTATTCCGTATTGCCCATAACATATATAATATCGAAAATTCTCCGAAGTTAAGAAATGTTTTTGTTTGGTAAATCACTAACTTATGCAATATGACAGAGTTAAAAAGTTATGAGTTTCATGTTAATAGTTTTACACTATAGTACCTATATAGCACATGTACCTAATTATTTAGATTATACATAAATTAATTTATGTTTTAACAATTATATAATTGTAATATTTTCATTGCAATAGTTTTATCGATAAACATGGTTTCTACCTTTCAGAATATTTTTTTTATTTTTTTTATAGTAACTTTTTACTGGTTTAAAAAATCGATAATAATTATTGAGTTGAACATAGATTTTATTAAAACTGCTGCACTACTTACAAATGTATTTATTTTTTATACGATTATTTGAAGCAAGTAGAATTCACAGTTTTTAATACATTTGAACAAGTCCACTTTTTTATTAAATTTAAAATTCGTGATATAATGTCAACGGTCTTTATATAATTGAATTGAATGTAGGATAATCAAATAAATAGTTCTGTATTCTGTCATAGATTACTGTCAATTATTTTGTGTGAATTTAGGTTTTGGAAAATATTCAGGGAAAATACCATTCAATTTTAGGTGGACGATTCATAATATATTATCGTTTAATGTTTCACGAAATAAAATATTGAATGTGATTTTTTTATTTTTATTTTTGGAAAACTGCCTATTTTAACAATCATCGTTATATATCGAAAAATAAAAAATACTGAGTAAGTAGCGTTCGAAAACGTTATTTAATATATACGACTACTCACACATAGAATGGATTTATTCTAATTTGTAGAAAATGTAAATATTATGCATTTTATACAAAGTAGTAAGAATTTGAGAAAAAATAATTTAGATAATTTTAGAAAGAATAAAAAAATTAAATTAGGTGTATATAAAACCAATACATTTGATATTCTTAACCGAGTGTCAACTTGTACAGTTTGAACTTGCTCAACGACTTACCGATGCAAAATAGTGGCAGTGCTGTCAAAGCATCCTCACCGTTGTCATCGTACTCATCGTTTTCCGGCGTTCCGTTGTTCGTTGTATTTGGTTTTAATTTGGTATCCTAAAATTAAAAGAAACATAAAATATCAATGCCGATTCCATATATTATTATTTATTTTAATAGACGTCATGATTTAAAATAATAAAAAAAATTATAAATTTTTTTTTTTTTATAGCTATTTCCGATATTTTGAAAACACTAACACCATATAATGTGTTCCTAAAAAAACGGTTTGTTTGTTTTTTAATGGTAAAAGATTTATGAGTAATAATTACGTTTAAAAAATAGTGATTCATTTTATATTTTTTCCTTTAAAAATTAAATATTGCTCTTTTTTGTTATTTACTACAGCTGCAGCAAAAAAGGGGGAAGATTTTTCATCAAAAATAATTGTTTAAATTTTTCCATTAAATAAGTTTTACATTTTTATTCAGCCAATCTACAATTAAGTGATAAAAAAATTATTTTTGTTATGAAAAAAAACAAGCTCATATTTTTAAGTTCATAAATATATAATACTTTTGAAACAAGTTCTACACACACACGCGCGTGCGCACACACACAGACGTAGACCATTATTTAAGTACTTCAACGATTAATTTATTGATTAAAAAACTGCTAATTATGTATTAATAATATATATTAACACAGTGAGATAAATAAATAGGTTTATTTTCATTTTTAACTTAGTATTCGCCGCAATTGTGGAACCATACAACCATTTTTGAGGTTTTTTTTTCTATTATATAACTCATATGTGCGTACTAACTTTGTATAGTTAGTTATTTTACAGTGCATAATATACCTAGTAAATGATGGCACGCTAACATAAACGTAATGATTTTAAAACAAATCACGCGCATTATGGGAATATTCGTAGGGGACGAGCAAAACGGTTTTGTGCATCGCAGCGGGACTAAAGTTGTTAAACAATAATATGACGAAGGTGGTCATATGTTATTTGTACAGATACGTGACATTTTGCCTTGCATATTGTGACGAAGGTATTACGTGGCGGTGGCTGTTCATATTTTAAAAAATGCATTTACATACCTCTGTACAATATTTTAATATTATTATATATGTATTTACTGTGAACTCGTGTTATGAACGCGTAAATACTGTTGTGTTACAGAACGAAAAGTTTTTTTTAGGTTATATATATATATATATATATATATATATATACACATGCATATAAAAAAAAACATTTTTCCTTTATGGATTTTAGCGTCACGGATAAACATATAATGCATCACTCGCATTTGTTTTGTACGCGCACGTGTCCCTACGTGTATGTATGTTTTCTGAAGTGGGTTCGCGGATGCGGAATGATGACGAACGATTCCCATCGTAATTTGATGTGTAAAAAAAAACACCCGTCTGGACCAGGATTACCTCCGTCGAAACTATTCACGTGCCGTCATTTTCCTTGCTATTATATTATAATGTTTTTCTATAACTCCCGAGGCGATAATATTATATTAAACAGCAGATGTACTATTTGGTCGCAAGCAAATGTGTAGTCAAGTGTGTAGGTTTTGTAATGGCCAGTTTTTCCTTTTTTTTCACAGTTATATTTTTATGTTCATCTTTCAGACACACACACACACATACACACTCTTTCTGTGTACCGTACAAATTCGAGTACGTAATAGGTAAACCGTAGATAATATTGTGTTGAAATTGGTCGAAAACAAAAACGTTAACAGTTTTTTTTTTTAAATATTACGCTCCAAGTAATACGTGGATATTACGGTATTGAAAACGTCAGTAATGCCGACTAGATACTTGTATGAGAAACCGATTAATAAATGTCCACCACTCTAACATATTATAGTTCACAAATATTTTACACTGCGGCCTAGCATAAAATGCAAACACCAGTCACTCATAATGTCGATTAAATTTGATTATTATTAATAATTATACTATACAAGTAAAAATATAAAGTTATAGACGCCAATCACAAGGTCGGTGTTTCTGTCAAATCATACCCCCGGAAAAAATTACCGGGGGGAGGAAGATTTTCTTAGGCATATTTACCCCCGGCATAATTATCCTAGGTTATTATTACCCCCAGTAAGATTATCCTAGGAAATTTGTACCCCCGGGTAAGAATATTCTAGGATAATCTTACCTCTTGGTAAGAATTTACTAGGAATATTGCACCTCGAAGGAGTTATGATTTTCTTAGAATATGTCTAGGAAAATCTTACACCCCTTCTGTAATATTTTCGGGGTTATGATTTGCCTGTTACACTGGCCATAAGTTATTCGTGTGTAATTGTTGCTTCTATTTATTTAACTCCGCTCGTCTGAATCGATTCGATGATGTGATAGTGAATAATAGGATTTATTTAATTCGCAGAAACACAATTAAGTTTGTACTTTAATTTTATACAAGGAAACATCTAAATTATTTCGCGGCCCTGGTAGTTTTCAGTGTCATTAAATTATGTAATTTATTCGTTTTCACGGAGGCTCGCTTTATCTGAGTCGCGTCTGTTTAATATATTATTACAGGGAAACAACTATAATACCAATTATATCTAATATTTTTTGTTTATTAAACTATTAAAACAAACAGCTTATTTATACACACACACACACATTATATATATATATATATACATATTATACGAGTATATACGTACTTTATACGTATTTATACTTGGTTGTATTTTTAGTTTTTGCATACCGCAGCAGAAAACATTGTGCAAGATACAACTTCTTTCCTACAAGTGATTTATTACTACATATGCAATTAAATTATTTGTAAGTCGTGCGTGCAATGGTAATACCACGTGTGTAATTCTTGATTCCATCATACGAAATCTTATATAATTTACAGCGTTGTACATATAAGACTGCATATAATATGTTATGATGCCATTAAACAGCCAGTAGGCAGTTATGTTAGCATTGTCGTTAAAATATCCCATACGATTACGCACGATGAAACGTGCGTACGAAATTAACACTACGTATTCCACCGTGCTGCATGATTATTATTTTGATTATAATTTTATTATTGATCGATATGATAATACCCAAAAGCGAGAATAGTTTACAGTTTCAAACCATAATAATTTTAACGAAATTACGTAAACCGATTGTAGATTTTACATTAAAGAAACAATATCAATTATATTTTATTACTAATATCGAGTATGTAATGATCGTAAAGGATTATTACAGATATTGAGGTTTTTAACTTTTAATGTTGCAGGAATTTAACATATGGTTTATCGAACCATTTAATATAAATAGTGTCGAGCATCTCAGGTCTGATGGAGAAGGTAACGGAGACTCTGGAATTAAAACAGAGGATATAGTGTTCAATTTGGAATAAGAAAAGTATGGATTACTACCTAAAACAAAGAACGTGCCTGTAGTTTTTTACTACTAAAAAGGGTACGATAACATTTTCGAAAAATAGTTATGGCACTTTGCAGTTTTCTTGCATTTCCACCTAATTCGTGTACCGTGTATATTATATACACACCATTCACGTATGTACGATTGAGATTGTTGTTTAATATGCAAATAGTTAATGCACCTAAAAATTGTTTATCGGTTTAATTGGACTACACCGTTTAACCTAATAATAATTTGATACCGAGAAGAAAAATCACTGTCGATTATATCAAACTTCAAGGCAGCGATTTGAAACTTTAAAATTCTTCCTTATCATAATATAATAACCATGAATATGGTTGGAATTATTCATTCCATGATAAGTGGTCTTTGACAACTTTTTTTTTTTTGATAAACGTTCTAAGGTTTTTATTATAATAGTAGATGACTTATAACAATACATTTCAAATGTGTATATAAATATCTAATGTTAATGAATTATAATTTGATGAATATAAACAATATGTGTTTGAATTGTCTCTCTAAATGGAGAAGCCCCGGTTTTAGTCTAATATCTAATACTAAATCATATGAAATTCGGTGTTTAAGACGCCTTATGTGTAACCTTATATTTTGAGAATTATCGATTAGTTAAATTGGATTAGCATGTTGATTTACCTTTATCCAGTAGTTAAAGTGAGGAAAATGTTGTGGGGGGATTATATTCATCAAACATTGAGGAGCGTTCCCTTTCCTAATTTAAAATTTTACTAACCTTTTTTAGGAAACCCATGAGGTCTAAGCCTCTTTTGTTACACATGTATGTTCATAAAAATTTTATTTTCATAGGGTGTAAAAACAAATTACCCATAAAGAAAAATAATTCTATACATATGCTTGCTCAAAAAAAAAAAAGATAAATTGAAATACATAGTAGGTAATGCTTAAAAAACTTAAGTTTAACAAAACTAAAAAGAGACTATTACTAACCTTGCTAGTTGTTGGTCAACGTAGACAGTAACAAATACGTACATTGCACATAAGGTGTATACTTTCTATATTATAAGATAGTGTCTATCCTCTATCATAATTTAATATTTATACTATTTATGGTTATTCTATTCTGTTTATATTTATTCTAAATAATAGTCGATATCACTATCACTTTAATTTTAGAGCTATGGATAATAATCGCTCGGAGATCATCTATAATTAGACACAGCGTCAATTAAATTAACCCATGGTGTACATTATCTACCATTTTTGCTTATCGTTATATCTAAATATTATTTATCCGAAATTTTTTCCACTTGTTCAAATAAATCAAGAAAATAAATTTCTTGTAATATTGTAATATTATAATAAATATTGTATTTTAGTGACCAATGCCATTAAGCATCCACTCGGACTTTTGGCGACTTAAATTAAAGAGGATGCATATACTTACCTTAAATAAAAAGGGGGACCCCGTCCCCCTCGTACCCCCACTTTAACCACTGGCTTTATCCTATGTTTTTTTATCTAACTTAGTTATCTCGTATTGGACGTAGGTTATCTTCGAATCTTGGTGAATAATTGAATTTGAATTGTATCTGTATTCTGTAATAATATTGGGTGGGTAACGAATGCTACTTAAACCGGATAAAAATCAACAATAAATCTAAGGAGGGAATAATGTTGAATAAAAATTCGATGGAACA